CCCAACAATGTCAATGTTCAAGGGTGTGACTTTAACAAAACAAAAACAAAACAAACAACTTTCCCCTTTGTGGCTAGCTATTGCATGGTGTTTACAGAATTGTGTGATGATCATTCTAAGTTCTTCAGGAAAGGGACCTTGCTTTCATACTTGTCTTTAAAGCATGTAGCACACTGATGACTCTGTATAAATACATAAAAAATAATAACCAGCATATATATTCAAGCCTAAGAACAATGGGATAAAGGGAGAGGCAGACCAAATTCTGAAATCCTTCCTTTTGTTACTTTAGGTCATACCCTTGGTATTATTTTTTTAATATTACCGTCTTGATCCAACTTCCAATGGATTTAGTGGAAACAATCCCACACTCGTACTTCAATGTAAGTTTGATCTGGTCCTATAGTTGTCATTTTTTAATTCAGGGATTCCTGAGCATTTCTTTCTCTATTTCTTTTTAAAGTCTAACATCTAAAATAGTGGTTTTCAATCTATAGTCCATGGACGCCTAAGGGGTCTGCGAAAGTTTGTCATTACCATAGAACAGTGGTTTTCAACCTGTGGTCCAGGGACTTGTGGGGGCCTGCACCTTTGTTTGAAATTTTTTAAATTAAAAAAAGGTTGAAAGCCATTGATCTAAAAGCATAACAAGAAAACAAAACAAAAAAAGGCAAACTCCTTCTTTAGCATTTTATCTGGTACACAGGTTCTGGTTTATATAGAACAGTGGTCACCAACCGGTCGATCGCGATCGACTGGTCAATCCTGGAGACTCTCCAGGTCGATAGCAGTCTCCGGCGGTGCAGCGGGGCTGCTGCTAAGGCAGGCTCCCTGCCTGCTCTGGCCCCACGCTGCTCCCGTGGCTGGGGGTGGGGAGGAGGAGGCCAGGGGTCTCTGCGTGCTGCTCCTGTCTGCAGGCACCACTCCCGCAGCTCCCATTGGCCGGGAACGGGGAATGGTGGCCAATGGGAGCTGGGGGAGTGGTGCCTGCAGAGAGGGGCGGTGCACGGAGCCATGTGCCCCCCCAGTGGCCACAGGGGCGCGTTGGCCCCTTCCGGGAGCAGCTTGGAGCCAGGGCAGGCAGGGAGCCTGCCTTAGCCCCCCACTATGCCGCCAACTGAGAGCTGCCCGAGGTAAGTGCTGCCCAGCGGAAGCACCCTAACCCCCCTCCCAGAGCCAGCACCCCATACCTCCTCCTGCACCCCAAACCGCCTCCTGCATCCCAAACCTCTGCCCAGCCCTGAGCCCCCTCCCAGAGCCAGAACCTCATACCCCCTCCTGTACCCCAACACTCTGCCCCATCCCGGAGCCCCCTCCTGCACCCAAACTCCCTCCCAGAGCTTGCCTCCTTCACCCGCTTCTGCACCCCAAACCCCTGCCCCAGGCTCAGCCCAGAGCACCCTCCCACACTGCAAACCCCTCAGCCCCAGCCCAGAGTCCGCACCCCCTCCCAAACCCCAGCCTTCTGCCCCAGCCCAGTGAAAGTGAGTGAGGGTGGGGGAGAGCGAGTGACCGGGGCGGGGGGAATGGAGTGAGCGGGGCAGGGCCTCAGGGAAGGGAAGGGGTAGATCCTGGGTTGCTCTTAAATTCAAAAAGTGATCTTGGGTAGAAAAAGGTTGGAGACCACTGTTATACAACATGAGCTGAATTAACTGTTATTTCCATGATAAAAGTCCCAATCTTAATGTTTTATCATATTATTAAGGGTTAAATCATGCAGAATGACAAAGTTAAGGCTACACATGCAATCTGGAACTCTGATCCCAATTTCTATGCACCTTACAGAGTCCCCAAATGGCCCTGTCAATTTGCAGGAACATATCTGACTAGATTTTCCACTGCACAGGTAATTTACCCACCCATACATGTGCAGCAAAAGCCTTCCTTTTATATACACCTTTGTTTTAAACAAGGAGTGCACTGCTAATTAACGAGGGCTATTCCTAAACCAAATTACACCCTCTAGTCTCCCAGCATTTTCAACTGAACAGCATCTTAAAACAAGAAAATGCTGCACGTATTTTGGATAACAGAAACAAAGTTTCCCCACCACCCAGTTTTCGACTGGAACGCCCAGATTAAACATACTCCTGATTAGAAAGTAGCAACAGCTGAATACAGCGTGTGCAATTACATCTTGGAGGGCATAGCTCTCTTCATCCTGCATAATGTAACCTGATGCCCTTTATGATTGGTACCAAATAAATCAATATATACACACCAGGTATTTATGAAATACCATAGCCTTATAGGAATACAGGAAAGGAAATGTAGGACATACAAGTAAGGCCACAGTAATGCATCATAAAATACTGAAAAAAGACACATAATAGGAATAATATTACATTACTCAGAGTGAAATACACACATTGTTCTGTGAAACTGCATAATCCAAAATAACATCAAAGCAATTAAAGATATGTTGGATCATTCTGCTCTGATTTGAATTTCAGTTATAAAAAAATAATTGGATTACATTAAGTAGTTAACTAATTTGTTACTTTAATTTGCTTAGGGTACTATTACAACAATTTATTTAAAATGAAAAACTGATCTAACTATTACAGTTTCCTTATTTTATACTAAATAAATAAAATTGGACCCATAGAAACAAAGCATAGTTTTAATGTATTTTAGATTATAAAAAAATCACTTTATTAAAGTTCAGTTTAATAATAGAAATGCCAGGGGATAGATAAAATGATGAATTATTTCTAAAAATAAAAGGATTTCTCATTATTTTCATTCTGAAGAACAAAACCCTTTCGCTTTATTTAACTTGAGAATCAGGATGGCTTTCTTATTAGCTCACTACTCACCAAAACAAATAGGTTTGTTATCATACTCCTGCACATCACATCCAAGGCTATTCCCATCTTTTTATGACCTAGTTATTTTATTTCATTTTTTGCATTACTTAAATAAGAATCTGACATGATACATACATACAATTATTAAGTGGTAAGAGGTCCCCTTCCCTGATGTTTTTGTTATACTCCTTGCCAGAGCAACAAGAGATTATGGGCCAAATTTTCACATATGCAGATCCATGTAGAGAAAATACAAACAAAGTGCATCTGTGATTGCATGCAAAATCAGGTAAACGCACGCACAAACCATTTGATACCTAATTAGCTTTTGCATGTGCAATTCCTCTCTTTGTACACACATCTGAAAGTGTATTTTTACAAGCAAGTTTTTTGTACGTGAATCAGAACTCTAACTTTAAAAATGTTGTATATTTGCCTCTCACTCTGAAATCATTAGAGACTATGAGCTAAATTCTTGACCCCACCTACCAGGGCCGGCTCCAGGGTTTTGGCCGCCCCAAGCAGCCAAACAAAAACAAAACAAACAAAAAAAAGCCGTGATCGCGATCTGCGGCGGCCATTCGACGGGAGGTCCTTCGCTCCGAGCAGGAGTGAGGGACCGTCCGCTGAATTGCCGCCAAACAGCTGGACGTGCTGCCCCTCTCCGAAGTGGCCGCCCCAAGCACCTGCTTGGTAAGCTGGTGCCTGGAGCCGGCCCTGCCACCTACTGCAGAACCTCAATTACAAACACCTCGGGAATAGAAGTTGTTCATAACTCTGAACAAAACGTTATGGTTGTTCTTTCAAAAGTTTACAACTAAACATTGACTTAATACAGCTTTGAAACTTTACTATGCAGAAGAAAAATGCTGCTCCCCCCCTTTGTTTTTAGTAATTTACATGTAACACAGTACTGTATTGTATTTGCTTTTTTATTAATTATTATTATTATTATTATTTGGTCTTTACTGCTGCCTGATTGTGTATTTCTGGTTCAAAATGAGGTGTGTGGTTGACTGGTCAGTTTGTAACTCTGGTGTTCTTAACTCTGAGGTTCTACTGTACCTGTGCAGAGTTCACAAGGAAATCAATGGGAGTTATATCAGAGTATCTGAAGGCAGAATTTGACCCATATTCTCTCTATAATTTCAATTAATGCTAAATAGGGTTCCTACCTCCTGGCAAATTTTAAAGATAGGCAGTTATGGCCAATGGGAGCTGTGGAGTCGGCCCTCGGGGCAGGGGCAGCGCCTCCTTGGCCACCCATGAGTCTAGGGGCTGCAGGGACCTGGTAGCCAATTCTGGGAGCCGCGCGGAACTAGGGCAGGAAGGGATTACCTGCCTTAGCCCTGGGCTTCTGCTGCACCGCCAGCCAGGGTCCCTTTTCGACCGGGCATTCCAGTCAAAAGCCGGATGCCTGGCAACCGTAATAACCTCAGGAGACAGTGCTTTCACAGGTACGGGAACCAAGCTATGGAACTCACTACCAGATGAAATGGATTATTAACCTCACTACATTCAAGAACTAAACACAACCCGCACCCCCTTTCCTCCCAACACTTTCCTGCAATAATAATCTCATTCTCATGTATTTTAAAAAACCCTAAACCTGCCTCTTGATGGCAAAGGAGACAGATATGATTGGGATTTTTACCTTTGTGAGGAAATAAGATGCTTAATGGTGGAGGCTATCAGGGCCGGCTCCAGGCACCAGCTTACCAAGCAGGTGCTTGGGGCGGCCACTTCGGAGAGGAGCGGCAGGTCCAGCTGTTTGGCGGCAATTCGGCGGACGGTCCCTCACTCCTGCTCGGAGCGAAGGACCTCCCGCCGAATTGCCGCCGCAGATCGCGATCGTGGCTTTTTTTGTTTGTTTGTTTTTTTGGTTTTTTTTGTTTGGCTGCTTGGGGTGGCCAAAACCCTGGAGCCGGCCCTGGAGGCTATATAAATATTTGGACAGACAGATAGAATAGATAGAAGTAGGGAGACTGAGGAGTGAATGGTAGATTCAGTAAACACTCCAGCAGGAGATGCTTTCAGTTTTGCTTTCATTTCTTTTTTTAAAATGAGAGCCTCAACCACCATTCAGTCAGATTGGACACAATCACTCATGAATTATGACATGTCCAGAGCAGTGGATTCAGTGTAGGAGAGAGGTTTGCTTGGCTGAAGACTCAAGAGGGATGACTGAGAAGTAGAACGGCAAAACTTTTCCTATGCACATCTCAGCACCACCCACTGAAAACATCCTTGGGATCCTCTTTTCCTTTCATGAGCCACAATAGGCATCCTTTTTTTTCTCTTTGAAAATCTGGCCTCTATACGTGTATTGGATAGGGGGATTTTATATTGTTGCCCAATATGGCTTTCTGCTTCTGGTTTGTCTGCTTTCAAACATGAAGTGACCAAGAGTACAACAGTTTTTGGTATCTGGTGATTTTACACACATGGATCTTTAGAAATTTTCCATACCTTTATTTAATACTTGGCTCATAAATCATAATGAAGTTGGCAGAACCACACTACTATGAAATGGGGTGGGGGAGAAACTCTCTAATTCTAAAGCTTTTCTTCCATTTAAAATTCCATCTTTAGTTATTCTTCTTACACACTGCTTCTGTTTATGATTTCAACATATTAAATTTACAATAGTTTTACTATGAATTGGTTTACTTCAGATATGGAAAAAATGCTAGCAAATAGCACATTCTCTCCTTACAATACATTTCACATCTCAGACACATGCATGAATCTCTCACAAACATTTGCAGTGCTTAACTTTGGCTATGCTAAGTAAACTGCCAGATAAATATCAAGGCAGGGACATAATTTACTATCCCAGTGATTTTCAGAAAAGCTTTCAATAACAGTGCTGTGCTCAAATCCACACAGTACAGAAAATATATATATGGAAAAGGGTACAGGCGCAAATGCTCCTGAATTTACTCATGACACAATTATGACTACAAAAATGTATCAGATTTTAAACACGTATGAGCCCATATGCATAGTGAAGATAATTAGGCATGAACAAAAAATAATCTAACACCATACACTAAAAATAATCGTAATACAAACATGGAGAGATAGAGAGGCAGGCAGACCAGGAATGAGCGTGGATAATATAATAAAACCATCTGCAAAATAGCTGGCGGCAGTTAAAAATGTCAGTTGGGGCTTTTAGTATAAATCAGTTGAGGGCTCTATGGTGTCTGGTAGGCAATGCCCAAGTTGTGGGTAGTAAAAGGCCACACCACTCGAGGGGGAACATACGGGAGAGTGCAAATTGCTACACCTCTTTAAGGGCTAGACAGAATATAGCCCATAATTGTTAGCGCTCTCTAGAGATCTATTTAGGTATTTACAACCCACTCATCATGGACACATATCTAAGCCCATTTCAAAAATACTAGTAATCTGAACACATTTGAAGTTTGATTCTTTCCTCATTTTGGGAGTCCCCATATTCCTCCCCCTTCTTCTTCCTTGCATCATCACTAGTGTATTAGTTACTCATTTTGGGGAGCTGGTCATTATTGTGAGAAAGACAGGATGAAGAAAGGAGTCTTACGCAAATTAGTTCTGAGGGATCCTATGTGCATCTTGCTTCTATTTCTCCTCTGCTTAAGCGTTCACAGGGGGTTTATTCCACCCCCTCTATGCACCACTGAACCAGATCTATACCACCTTTAGATTTCTGTAGTTATTTAAATGGTGAGCCACTGAGTCCTAAAATATCCCCTATGCTTACTGAGGGTTTGGCCTTGACAGCACAGGATTTTGGATATAGCTATTTTTAAGAATATAAATTCAAATACTGCAATATTCTAGAATACTATTTTTTTAAAAAGCCAATTGCTCCTAAAAAGATCCACTTTTTAACAACAAAAATCAGAAAACAAGAAAAAACATGATAATTTACCAGCTTGGGCACAAAGGAACAACGTTGCTTTGATAAAGCAAGATAAAGCAGTTGTATTGCTTTATCTTTAAAGCTCCTTTATACCAATATAACTCCTCCATGCTCAAGGCCTTACCAGTTATAACTATTTTAGCAAAAGGAACAAACAAACCACACCCCTAACCCAACCATAGTACGAACAGTGTGTGCAGACCAGGCCAAAATCTACTCACCTTCCTTCGCCAAAGTTCATCATAATCTAAAAAGCCAGAGGAGTGACTTTTTGCAAGGGTATCCTATATATAGCATAACATAACACTAGGGTGACCAGATGTCCCAATTTTATAGGGACAGTCCCGATTTGGGGGGCTTTTTCTTATATAGGCTCCTATTACCACCCACACCCTGTCCCAATTTTTCACACTTGCCCTCTGGTCACCCTACATAACACACATCTCTAGGAGGTGTGCAGTACACAAGGGAGGAGTGGATGTCTTTTTCCCCAGGCATTTTGCTGAGTACCACATATGTTCACAGACCCATTGATACCGACAGTGGTGCCCTCTTACCAGCGGTACATTAGGGTGGGTCTCCCATATTGCACGCAATGCGAGCGCAGAGTCAAAGCCCCCTTGCGCTCCAGCACGTCTGGGGGTCCTATGTCCATCCTCAGGTGGGTCCCTGTGGAGCTGCAGGACTTGCTGCACTGTACTGACCCCCCAGACCTAAGCACTCAGCCTCCTCTCTCTCCCGTTCACACACAAAGGCTAGTCCCCTCCAGCAGCTCAGCCCCACTTCCCCACAGAAGCCACCTTGCTCCCAACCCCCTGAGGTAACGCTGCGCCCAGCTCTCCCTCGCAGCACAAAAATAGTCCCTAAAAGATGCTAGTTCTTGAGGCCCCAAGTCTCTCAGGTACAATCAGAGACATTCCTACGCAGGCGCCGCCTAATCCCCTTGGTAACGAGAGACGCTGCGAGGAAGGGGGTGGAGCGAAGAGAGCTTTCCGCGCTTCGGCCGGGACTATAAGGCTGTGGCCTCGGAGCGCTGAACGGCCGCCCCGCGGAGGACTACATTTTCCAGAATACAACGCTCCGCTTTGAACCACGCGAACAACGGATCCGTGCGGCGCATTGCATGATGGGAAATGTAGTCCAGTAAAGACGGACATATATTAAACCGGTGTTTTAAAAGGGGCTGAGGGAGTTGAACCCTCTCCCCCATTTACCGCAGCACCTCCCGGCCTAACCTCTCCCATCTGCCGAGTCTGGAGGGCACAAAAGGCAACAAAGAGAGAAACAAACAGTGCTGTGGTGACTTCCAGCTCCCTAGGGGGCCAGGCAGATATCTCATCATTACCTATGTTGTCTGGTACCAGCCAGCTGACCCAGTCATGGACCAGTACCCCCACTGTGCTAATTCCTGTACAAACAGGCCCTGCCCCAAAGAGTTTACAATCTAAGTTAACAGTATTCTTGCTCTGGAGACCAGACAGGCAGGGTGTGTCAGAAACAATTTTGCACACACAGAGCACTGAATAAATAATTTTGTTTTTGCTCCTGCTATGGTCACAAGAGAGGCCATCCAGCTATACAGATGGCCTTAGAAGTTAAAGGTGAAATCCTGGTCCCATTAAGGTCAATGGCAGAACTCCCACTGACTTCAGTGGGGTCAGGATTTCACCCTAAAGATTTGCAAGATTGGACCTGACTCTCATAAGTAGTTTAAATAGTTTAGGACTTTTTTTATTGATATTTTAAATCTTCACTCCATTTGGACAAGTAGGTGCATAAATATTGTGATTATAATTTTAGCTCATCAGATGATTTAAAGTTACCTCCAGCAAATAAATCCAAAATAGTATACATAGTTCTACTTACTTTCTATGCTCTCAAGTCCTCCTTGTAATACATCTGTGAAACCAGCATTATTGCAAGGAGAGTGTAAACATTCATTTACATAACAGGATTCAGATGATAAAATGGTAACCTTACCTAACAATATCATGTTATTTCTGTTTCTGCTATTACTGGTATCACTTCACTTTTTTGCAGGTTTTTTTTTTAATATATTGTCCAAATCTTTGGAAATAAGATGCTTTGCTCTAATTTCCATCTCTATATAAAGCATGGTTTTATTCTGAAAAGTGTTGGTAAAAAGTGACATTAAGGGGTTCCATACCAATTTTGTCTCCATTATTTCCACATTAAATATGTTCTGTTTACAAGCTTTTAAAAAAAAGTGTTTTTTCTAACTATTGTCCCTGCAAACGAGAGTCACTCTGCCCTTTGTGCATCAGCACCTGTAATGAGGATTCTATGGGCCAAAATATTGCAACTGCAACACCTGTGCAAACCCATTTATTTCACCAGTAAATTAACTACATTGTCACTAATAGGGTAGCACTGGTATAACAGACTGGAACTTGGCACAGAATTCTATTGTCAAGAAGGAAGAGAAACCTAGTTCAAACTCTTTTACCTTCTTAGTTATGTTGGCTCTGCTGGAATAATGGGAATAAAATGTAGCGGAAACTTACTTTTTGTCATTAAAGTGGTCAAATAAAACCCTGAATGCATTCAGGGAGCAGATCTGTTGAGTAAGATGCTTCCATTTTCATTCACTTTTCAGATTAGAGCTGCACTTTAAATATTTAAACATGTTGCAGACTAAGTTAATTATCTTTTAGTTTGCCCCATTGAACAGCTGAAAAGTGTGTATTTAAACTGCCATTCACTTCTTCCTTTTCAGCATGTCTGTAAATGTTTATGGATGACTAAAGTCAGCTGCCAATTTACTTCTCTTTACAAATTACAATTAAGCCTTTAATTGATGTTGGTGTTCTCTAAGGCTATGTCTACACTACAAAGTTAAGTTGACTCAAGTTATATCAATGTTCATCTACCACTGTAATTAAACCACTCTTGCACATCCACACAATGCTCCTAGGATGGTGGAATGCGTCCACAGTAGGTGCTCTTGCATAGCTATCCCACTGTGCAACTTGCCACCATCTGCTGTTGGGTGTTCTGGGAAGAGTTTGCAGTGCCTCATGGGAGAGGACTCAGCATTCCATGATGCAGTTTTCTCCATCCCATCATTCCATAGGATTCCTAGTACATTTTATGCCACTTTTCAACTGACCCTGTAAACTGTGCACCTGCTATCCCTGTCAGAAACCATGGATCCTGCACTGCTCTCCAGTGTTGTGATGAGCGTTATGAACACAACGCAGCTGATCCCGCAGCATTTCATGAACTGTAAATCTGATGATGACACTGTGGTGTCTAGCCTGCTGTGTGCCATGGTCAGAAACAATTCAAGATTGCTGTTGGCTGGTGGACTGTTGGTTCTGGGTGCGAGAAACAAGCACTGAGTGGTGGGATCATATCATTATGCGGGTATGGGATGACGATGCTAACATTTCTATCTTTTGGAAGGAACATGAAAATCAAGAGCACATTTGCCATTGAGGCTCTCACAGCTGGGTGTATGTCCAGCTGTCATTGTGAAACAACTCCATCCAGGTGTACTGCGAGGAATGTGTGTGGCTGGGGGGGCAGCATGGGAGGGCATGGAAGGCAGTTCTTTAAGGGCTGCAAGGGGAAATGAGCACAGAGGTGTTCCGCCTGAAGTTTAATCAGGGACCTCAACATGTCTGTTTGCTCCCTGAGCAGCTTTATCTTCTGCTTCGCCCATTTCCTATCCTGACTGTCCATTTGCAGTTTTTCATTGATAGCCTCTCTCCATGATCTCTGCTCGCAATCTGAAGCACCTGAGCATTGTAGCAACTCCCAGAACATGTCTTCTTTACTCCTTTTATTTTGTCTCCATATCAGATGGAGCCACTCAGCTGGTGTGCAGGAGAAGACCCTCAAGGGCACACCGTGTGACGGGGCAGACTGGCCCCGCACTAGGACCAAGAGGGTTAACCCTTCCCTGCTGGCAGAAGAAGCCATGCCCCTGAGGCTCTGCTGGGCATGCGCCAACCGGGAGTCAAGTATAAAAGCCTGCAGAACTGCTCAGTCAGGGCTGGTGGCTGAGGAAGGAGGATGCCCAGTGGAGGCTCCAGCCCAGGAGCAGTTGCGACTCCACTGGAGAGAGCTGAGGAGCCAGGGGCTGGGACCGGAGGCCAGCAGCTGTTGGAACCCCAGGGAGTGCCGGGTGCTGAAGAACCTGGAGACCCTGATGCCACGGGGACTGCTACGTTTGGAGAACCGGTAGGAAGTGACCCAGGGAAGGGAGTGGTATCTCCCACCACTCTGAGGGAAGTGTGTTGCAGTAGGATTCCCCGCTGACCCGTGGTGGGTCATGCTGTCATTGACCAGGTCCTGGGTTGGAGCCTGGTAAAGGCGGGTGGGCCTGGGCTCCACTACTGGGGTCTCTAAACCCCCCTCCCTTTTTGGTGATAACATAGTTCACCGACCCCTCTTTTACCTCAAGGAGATAGATGAACTCTGGCTGCTGGGCCGCACTATCCTACGAGGGGAAGAGAGTTTAGAGACTCTGGCCGTTGGGCCACGCTGCTTTAGGAGCACACTATATGGACTCTGGCCGCAAAGCCGTGCAATCCCCAGGAGGGAAGAGAATTTAGAGAGACTCCGGCCATTGGGCCACTCTGCTTTAGGAGCTCACTATAGGGACTCCATCCGCTAGGCTGCGCTATCCCACCAGGGGAAGAGAGTGCTGTGGTGACGACGCAGGAAAGGAAATAGAACACCAGGTCTGTGGTAGCTAGAGAGCTTTTCAAGCCTCCTGCAAAAGCCTCCCAGGAAAACTTTTCCTGGGGTTTTTATTCTTCTCCTTACTTTGTTTACAACTTATCTGAGTGGTTACATACTTGCCCATTCAGAAGGCAGGCAATATGCATGAGCATGAGATTACAAACCCATCTCTTAAGCGCGTGGACAGCCAGCTGCAAAGATGATGTCATTGTTGCCAATAAGTTTTCCAAACATAGGCGCTAAAACAAGGTCACTCCCGCCTTATTGCCAAGGGAACAGTTTGCCGTTCTTCAAGGCTTATAATTAGGGAGCAACACATTCCTACAAGAGAGTTTAGAGAAACTCTGGCCATTGGGCCACACTGCTTTAGGAGCGCACTATAGAGACTCCAGCCGCTAGGCCCCACTATCCCACCAGGGGAAGAGGATTTAGAGGGACTCCGGCCATTGGGCCATACAGCTCTGACTACTGGGGAGGTAGTAGAACCGACGTGGATGCAGGGAGGATGCAACCTCATTCCCCACCCCCTTGAATCGAAGGGGTTGATGAGGTACAAAACCCGCCACACACCTGCCCATGCTAACAAAACAATAGGCAGAGGCATTATTGTGAGTGCACTCACACCCTTGATCCAAACAAGTTAGAAATACAACTTTCTCACTATCCCTTGGCAGGCACACTGCACAGCAGGAGCCTCAGGAGTTTGGCCTGTGAGGGGAAAGGGGGACAAGATGGGACAAAGGGGTGGGGGTGTTTTCAGAGGGATATCACTACAAGCACCGAGGGTTCCTATTCTGAATACTGGCACTATTTTCCACCGGCGGGAGTGATAGCAGGTGATATCTTGCTCCTGAGGGTAACCAGGATGCAAGGTGAAGCTCCTGAATGGTCAGGCTGAAGAGTGGGTCCATATGCGGCTCGTCTATGTGCTGCTATGGTGCCTGCAGAAGTAATTGCCGATTGACACAGCAAAGTTTCCTACCACAGAGGGAAGAAACAAGGCAGCCCTCCCAAGAAACCTTCAGCAGAGGATTGCAGAATACCTCCAGGAAAGTTTCCTAGAGATCTCAATGGAGGATTCCTGGAACATCCCAGTGTTCATAAACAAACTTTTCCTCAGGGCCCCCTCTGCCTAGCTAAACAGGGGAATAAGAAGCCGATACAAACTGTACCTGTGTTGGTTATTTCAATCCTTCTTCTACCCTGATAAAAAAAGCAGAGCATTACCTCATGCCTTTCTGCAGCATCGAAGCACAATGAGCAAGGCTACGTTTTAGTCACAGGTAATTTTAATAAAAGTCACGGACAGTAAACAAAAATTCACAGCCAGTGACATGTCCATGACTTTTACTAAAAATACCTGTAAATAAAACTTGGGGGGAGGCTGCCGGGGGGCCCCACGGGTGCTGGAGGCAGGTGGGCAGTGGCCCAGGTCCCCCGCTGGAGTTGGGTTGTGTGTGGTGGGGCCGGCAGGCTCCCTACCTGGCACCATATCGCCCCCGTATCCCACTGACTGCCTCCCAACCAATGCCCTGGGTGGAGGCAGTGCGCAGAGCTGCTGGCCACGCCTCCGCCTAGCAGCTGAGCAAGGGGGACTTCACTGCTTCCAGGGAGCACCCAGGTAAGCGCTGTCCAGAGCCTGCCTCACCCCTCCCTTGCCTTCTGGTACGTGTGCCTCAGCTCCTTGATCTTTGCATGACACTGCTGCGTGTCCCTATCATACCCCTTCTCCTCCATGCCACAAGCAATCTGACCCTAGGTATCAAAGTTCCTGCAGCTAGAGCAAAGCTGTGACAGCAGACTCCTCTCTCCGAAAACCCAGCAGATCCACCACTTCCGGTGTACTCCAAGCAGGAGCATATTTGCTGCTGGGAGACAGCATGGTCAGCTGGGCAGATGCTATCTGAGCTGTCTACGCTGAGCAAACTAAAAGAGCAATTTCAAAAATTCCCAGGGCTTTAAAGGGAGAGGGGCACATGCCTGTATACCTGGCTGAAGGGCAGAGTTCAAACTGGTGACCAGAGCAGTCACAATGGGCACTGTAGGACACCTCCTGAAGACCACTTAGGGCGACATAAGCAACACAGTGTCTACACTGACACTGCATCGCTCTACCTACATCGCCCTAAGCACCATGCCTTGTGTTGAGGTGATTTTATTAGGTTGGTGTAGGAGAGTTCAGCTGGCAGGAGGAACATTGCAATGTGTACACCTCCATAGTTAATTCAATGTACCTGTCTTCTGTCAACTTAACTGCTGTCACCTTTGTTACTAAATTGTTGGATAGAAAAATAACCAAAATTAAACTTTAAAAAATGGGATAAAGAATAGGAGCAGTTGTTCAAACCGCACATTGGTTCTTGGGCCTCTGAAAATACAGAGCAAGGATGTCAATCTTTACCATCATATTCACAGTTTTGAAACCAATGGACATAGCAGAGTACCCTTGCAAAGTGAACTGCAGGAGTGGGGCTTTTTTATTTTTATGATTCTATCAATTAACTATCCCCACTGTAAATATTACATTTTCATGGACTTAATTTTAAAATTATTTTTGTGTTAAATAATACTTTCATACAAGATTTCTGGCATGGTACCAAGAGGACTCAGGTAGATTAAAATATTAGTTAAAGGGAGGTAAAAAAGAAAGAAAAGACATTCAGTTGCCCAAGGTGGTTTTTTGGTTACTCTAAAGTCTTGAGGATACTTATTTGTACAGATCTCTCAAATTGCCAGAGCCCTGCCAAACACGACATTCCAAAGCTCCCATGGGCCCCAGTTAAGCCCAACAAACACACCCTTTCTAGGCTGACCACGCAATCAGACTCAAAACCCATCTGGAAAGAACATGTTTCATATACAGAAAATATGTTAAGTATATGTGTGTACATGTACTAAAATTTATGAAAGGGGTCACCCTCACATTAGTGTGGCACTAGCTCATAGAAAAATCAAAATGAGAAATGTGCTACCTGAGCATCTCTCCCTAGTGCCCTACATAAGTAATTTTAAAAACTTAAATAAATCACATTATGATAAAATTAATGTCATCTATGTACAGAGGCAGATCACATATTTTTAGAGAGACATACAAAATGAAGTACTTAAAATAGAGAATTTAAATCTTGAGAAACTGCCACATTAGAGAAAAGGTATAAATTCCAGACTGCTTCAGTTCTGACACCAAGTCCCTCTGTGACCTTGGACAAGTCACTTAACTCCTTTCTCAGCTTCCCACCAGTAGAATAACACCTAAACCACAAAGGAATTGTAAGGATTCATTACATATTAGTAAAACAATGCAAAGATGAAAACCACTATGTAAATTCATACACTCATTATCAAATTATTACAATGTTAAAGTAAATGAAATTTTGGGCCCAACAGACCTAACAGTATCCTTTTATTTAATGACACTGATTATTTGAAATAAATACAAAAGTTTGTAATCTATGACATTATATAACTCATACTGAAAACAATTTATCATACATAAACAATGTGCGTATCACTTTTATCAAAAAGTATTTTTAGTCTTTGAGAAACATTGTTCCCAAAATTAAGAAGTTATTTTGTGTGTGTGTGTGTGTGTGTGTATACACACACACACACACACACACACAGGCACACAATAGAAGGTTAGCAAGTTATTATAACTTGACTATTTAACCAACCCCACCAGAAATGGATATTAATACCAATACAAATAGTTCACTTACCCTGCCCAAGAATAAAAGGTTAAATAACTATATCCTCCTAAATAATCAAGCATTACCATAGGTAATTCCAATAAATATAAGCCTGGAGAAGTTTTTTTTTTTTAATTGTGAAAGAAGGCTAATTAATATAATTCATTCTGCAATCAGTCTTGAAATATTTGGTTTCAGAGGTTTAGCCTTCAGGACCTCTTGCTACATCCCCAAACAGCGTTGAAATATCTCCTCCATTATGTCATCAGTATATACATAATGCTTATTTTCTTTCTTGGGTACCAAGGTCCATCTCCCAGATTTCCTATGGTAAATTCTACGGTATCTATTATAAAAATAAAAAAAAGGGGGGGGGGAGAAAAAATGCTGAATTTAATAAACATCACATACAAGATAATTATAGAAATACATGGTTTCATCCATCAGCATGTATAAATTAAAGACCTCAGTCCTGCAAACTCTACTCACACACTAACTTCTGTGGGGAAATTTGTGTAGTAAAAGGGCTACAAGATCAGCCCCTAAAAGCCTGAAAAAAAATGTAATTAGTCTCTATCCTTTTGTTTACAATTGAAGTCAATGGAGCTTCACCAATTTACACTGAGGAAAAGACTGACATTAAGTGATACAAGACAGAATATTTACATATACCCCATTCCCCCTCTCCTCGTATTCATGCTCACATACTCAGCGAGGCCTATGTGCAGTGACTTTTCTGAGACTAACTTTAGGACATTCTGCAGAGTCAAACTTAATAAAGGTTCTCTGTGCTGCAGCTGAGCAATTATTGAGTAAAGGAGTGATTGAGGTGAGCAGGGGATCCAAACACAGCATAAAATTGACCAACAAAGACACCATGTGAGGAACGTGGAAAAGCAACTGGTTGCATTTACTACTTCTTTGTAGCTTCTTAGTGAGCATCATAGGTTCATACTAGCTACTACAGGCTGAGACTGTGGCTGAACCATGCACTTTTTGAGCATACTTGTCCAAGTGCTGAATCATCTCTAGCTGTGTGTTCTCTCTCTCTCTCATGCAAATTATGTAGAATCCTGAACTTTGTATTAACATAAGAAAAAGCCAAATTCTCTTCTGGCATAATTCCCCTGAACTCAGCAAGAAATGTGGTCAATAGTATGTGTGTAATGCTGTAGGTAATAATACAAGCTCATTTCTTAGAGCAAATGATAATTAACTGCAACTATTAACTAAAAAAAGAAACAATAGATTAGTGCAGTGACAGACTTACATTAACTGATTCTGTTGATTGTGCATGGTTTGCCGGTTCAAATGCATATTGTAATCAATAGCAGCCAAAAAACATCTTGCTCTGTACACTGGATAGGTGTATTCAAATCTTTTGGGAGCATACATATGCACATGCTGCTGAAACTGTTCCAGATCAAATGTGGATCTTTATAAAAATAAATATATGATTTGTTTTTCAGAAACATCTTTAACATTACTAACATTATCAGGAACACACTATATAACTAGCACATAAATATTAATGAAGTGTAGAAAGACTTTCTTTTATTAGGAAGTAACTTTTCCTCTTAAATTACAATTGTTACATTTAAAATTCACTTAGCTTCAACTGTGTTACATGGTTTATTACTACTAAATGAGAGTTTGAATGATTTAGTATATATGCAAAAATACCTTTTTTGGCACACAGTCTACATTCATTTTTAGTAGGAAGGGAAGAGAATAACTTGGAGGAAACAAAGACAGCCTAACATCCACAATTCAAATTCGTTATACCTAAACTGTAGAAAGTATGGGATGTTTCTCAGAAACTTTTTATCCAAAATTATTCTGCACATTTCAGTGTGAGGTTTGCTTCCCTTTTCTAGCCATTCCTTTTCTCTTTCATCCATTTGAGGACCATGTTTGCACCGTCCCTCAATGATGCCGTTTCCACTAGCCCACTGATGTTCATTGACCACATGATGAACTAAGCCACACCACATTCCCTACAATGTTAAGAAACCATGATAATAAAATGTAATTCACTGCAGTAAAATATTGTATTGGAATATTACAATTTAACTCTAAATTACAACTTACAATAAATTTTTCATATGAATTTGCTTCCTTGCAGCAAAACCAGAAATAATTGACAATATCGGAACACCATTGTAAAAGACAGCGACAATCTTTCTGTCTGCTAGCCTGAAAAATAAAGGCATGCATAACTATTAAAAACAAAATGGCGTGCCTGTGTGTGTATCGTCTACTTATCTACTGAAATTATATATAGTAAACACTTTCTGTAGGCAGAGAGCATGTGTCTTCCTGTATTCTGTACACCACCTCCAAATTCTGGCCAATACCATAATATAAACTATCATAATAATAGTACAGCACAGATATTGGAAATATAAGCTTTCCCACATTGCCCAACTGATATGCCCAATGTAGAAAAAAACACCTCTAATGATGAGAGATTAGTTCATCTCCAAGCCATTCATTCTTTGCCTGTATACTGAGATTGCGAAAATGGAGGCCACTTAGGATCAATCATGGTGTTTTTTCTGCTATGGACAATGAGAGGCAGATCCTAAGTTGATGTAAATTGCCATAGCTCCAATTACTTCAGTGTACTTAAAGTCAATAGAGCTATGACAAGTTACACCAACTGAGGATCTGCCCCATAGAAATTAACTGAGATCATCATAGATATTTCAGAGCTAACCACATATCCATTAGTGATAGCATTCTACAACTACTGACCTGGGCTGGATTTGAACCTGTTAAAGACTCTATATCTTATTATCAATCCCCTGAGATATTAAGCCAAATATTGTGTTATGAATGTACTATGATCAATTTTATTATACCATTACAAGTAGCTACAAAATATATAGTTATTCTGTACTCAGAGAAATGTTACCTCAATTAATTTATTTCCAAGATTTTTGGCACCACCCCATATGTCATATGAATGGATTACACAGGGAAATTTCTTTGCTGTGGATAAAAAAACCCAAACATAATAATTAACGTTTCATTGCTGTTCAGTTTATTCATAGCCCCTGTGTAAAATTAAACATTTTATTTTTTCCAAATTCATTTATCATAATTTTCCCCAAATGCACATTGGCAGAGCATATAAAACACGACTGATTTAAAGCTCAGTGATCACTACAGCAGTTTAACACACCTAGATAATACACAATGTTAAGCACAGAAGCCTGCTGAATACAAATGTCTGATAGCAGAAAAGTATATAATTTTTTAAAAGTACATTTTATAATGCCAGTTAAAATAAAAGCAAGTACAATTTAGTTTTCAGTCCTTTTTGGACAGCAATATGAAAATTTAATTGTAAAAAGGACAGTTATTGTATATTGTTTACATAATTATACATAACAGCTCCTGCAACTTACAAGCATCAGTACTCTATCATGATTCAGCACTTCTAGTGATTTTTAGAGGTATCACTGATTTCCACCCGCATTAGACACTGTACCCAAAAAATGTAAGATATGTCTACTCTGAAAAAAAAAAACAGTGCAATATTAATTTGGGTTCTAACAGCAGTGAAGACATGGCTTTTTAATAGCTTAAATTCAAGTCTCTAGGGGAACCTGAGTTTGAATGTAAGCTTCTAATGCAAATTAAAAAGCCAAGCTGCTGTGCCTTCACTGCTATTTGAACCTGAGTTAGCTAACAAACACACTTTTTTTTTTTTTTTTCCCCTTCAGTGTAGGCATATTGACAGAAAAAAAGTTAGACCTATTATTCCATTTGGGGATTCTGACAACATCTACAAACCATTTTAAGATATTTTTTCAAGATTTACATCACCAGAACCATTGGATAGATTTTGACTAGGGCTGTCAAGTGATTATAAAAAATTAATCATGATTAATCACTGTTAAACAATAATAGAATACCATTTATTTAAATTTTTTGGATGTTTTCTACCTTTTCAAATATACTGATTTCAATTACAATACAGAATACAAAGTGTACATTGCTCACTTTATTTTTTTTTATAAATATTTGCACCGTAAAAAAGAAAAAAATAGTATTTTTAATTCACCTCATACAAGTACTGTAGTGCAATCTCTTATCATGAAAGTTGAACTTACAAATGTAGAATTATGTACAAAAAAATAACTGCACTCAAAAATAAAACAATGTTAAACTTTAGAGCCTACAAGTCCAATCAGTCCTACTTCTTTGTTCAGCCAATTGCTCAGACAAAGAAGTTTGTTTACATTTGCAGGAGATAATGCTGCCCGCTTGTTTACAATGTCACTTGAAAGTGAGAACAGGCGTTCACATGGCACTGTTGGTAGCCAGCGTTGCAAGATATTTACGTTCCAGATGCTGTAAAGATTCAGATGTCCCTTCATGCTTCACCCACCATTCCACAATACATTCTTCCATGCTGATGAAGGGTTCTGCTCAATAACAATACAAAGCAGGGCGGACTGACGCACATTCATTTTCATCATCTGAGTCAGATGCCACCAACAAAAGGTTGATTTTCTTTTTTGGTGGTTCGGGTTCTGCAATTTCCGCACTGGTGTTGCTCTTTTAAGATTTCTGAAAACATGTTCCACACCTCACCCCTCTCAGATTTTGGAAGGCACTTCAGATTCTTATACCTTGGATCAAGTGCTGTAGCTATCTTGAGAAATCTCACATTGGTACCTTCTTTGCATTTTGTCAAATCTGCAGTGAAAGTGTTCTTAAATCGAACAACATGTGCGGGGTTGTCATCCAAGACTGCCATAACACAAAATATATGGCAAAATGTAGGTAAAACAGAGCAGGAGATACACAATTCTCCCCCAAGGAGTTCAGTCACAAATTTAATTAATGTTTTTTTTTTTTAACTGAGCGACATCGGCATGGAAGCATGTCCTCTGGAATAGCGGCCAAAGCATGAAGAGGCATACAAATGTTTAGCATATCTGGCATGTAAATACATAGCAATGCCGGCTACAACAGTGCCATGCGAACGCTTGTTCTCATTTTCAGGTGACATTGTAAATAAGAAGCGGGCAACATTAGCTCCCGTAAATGTAAACAAACTTGTTTGTCTTAGTGAGTGGCTGAACAAGAAGTAGGAATGAGTGGACTTGTAGGCTCTAAAGTTTTACATTGTTTTGTTTTTGAGTGCAGTTATGTAACCAAAAAAAAAAATCTACATTTGTAAGTTGCACTTTCACAATAGAGATTGCACTATGGTACTTATAAGAGGTGAATTGAAAAATACTATTTCTTTTGTTTATCATTTTTACAGTGCAAATATTTGTAATAAAAATAATAATATAAAGTGAGCACTATACCTTTTGTATTCTGTGTTCTAAATGTAAATCAAATATTTGAAAAATGTAGAAAAACTTCCAAAATATTTAATAAATGTCAATTGTTTAATTATAATCTATTAAACATTCTATTGTTTAATACTGCGATTAAAACTGCGATTAATCACAATTAATTTTTTTTAGTTAATCGTGTGAGTTAACTGCATTTAATCGACAGCCCTAATTTTGACCCTTATGTATGGCTTGAAATACATTATACAGTACTTTGTGTTATCTGACTAAGCCGAAATTCTAATTACATAATTAAAGTAATATAGTAGAAAAGTAATACAGAGGTAAGCCTTAAAAGTACACTGTCAACTACAGAGTTTTAAAACTGGTTGAAAAATTTGTTAAAAATGTTTTTCAACAGCAAATTGTATTTTTGACTAAATTTTTTTCCTCACAGAAAATTTCAATTTTTCGGCTGAAAACCAAAATATCTTGATTTAGGAATGCTCCTACAGTACCTCCTTGGAGATGTACTTTGGTTGCCTCATGTCCCCATTTTCTTGTATGGGCCACACTTTCAGCCAGACCACACAATGCACCGTGGCCAGAGACTCCTATGATACAATACACCCACTTCCTCTCTCCAAGTAGGAAGACCTCAGTACACCATAAGATGATGAAATGGTCTGACTATGGGTATATAGAGGAGAATGAGAACTTGGGGAGCCCAAACTACAGCTCTCATGAGACAGTGCAGCAGCATTTTTAATTTTTGAATTTCTGCCAAAAATCAAGTTTCTATAGAAAGCCTCCTCATTTTTCAACCAGCTCCAGCAAAACCTTTTTAGAAACTTGAAAGTGAAGTGTCTTTCCTTACTGATTATGTCCTTCCTATCTGGCAAATATTGATTCTTCCTACCTTGTATATTTAAGAGACTGACATTAAAATGCTGTTTTTTATTTATTTCCTTGTTTATGTGCTAGTATCACTGATTAGTTCAGCAGTGCTTTGTGAACAGTGTTAAGTCCAAATGCTGGAAATCCTTTCAGTTTTATGGAAGTCAATGGGACTACTTGTGCGAGTAATAATTACTTATTTGTTAAAGCAAAATCTGGGCTGCTAGAACCAAACTCTCTCTTCAGATAGCTATGGGCAATTCCAACTGACATCACTGGGAGTTGCACTCCCAGTTCTGAGGGAAGAAATTTGACCTCCAGATAGTAAACGACTGGAAGCCAACAGTGGACAGCAACATTAGTAAACATTCTTTTTGCGTTAGTCACACAAAAAATGGAACCACAGTTTTAATTCTTCAGAGATTGGTATAATGGATTTCTTTTTAAAAATACAAACTGAAAATCCAATGGATATTTTCAAAGAGATGATTTTTCAGGGAAGTCAAATGTTGGGCCTAAACTATCTAACAGTATGCCTTGAACTTACAGAGTTTTGTAGAGCCTTAGTAAAAAGTTAAGAGTGATAATTACTTATCAAAGCAGAGATTTGAGTGTGTGAATCAGTAACCACTTCTTTGACCATTAGCTGTTCATCCAACAACTTTTGTAATCCTCTTCGAAAGGCTTCCTTCTCCATAAATGGGGAGTTCAGTTGCGTTTTGCGTTTATCCACTATTTCGATAGCTAAAATTTGTTTAGTTTCTAAATCCATGAATGAGTATACACAATACTGTGCAGAGTGGCCAGGGCCATCCATGCGTCCATCTCCTGCACATTAAGAATTAAATAGAAAAGTTTTATTCTGAGAGGAATAAAATCAAGGTTACCTATTTTAATAAATGTAGTAAGAATATTTTTTAAAAAAATCAAGGAACAAATTTGGATGAGGTATCCAAAAAACAATTAAGTTTTGAAATGCTTTATTTACCCATAATGACTACTTCCTTCCCATGTAATTCCTCTAAAATGTGTTGCTTCATTCGACACCAGAAGGATTCTATAGTTGGAACAATAAAGTGACGTTGCATTCTGAAGAATGTACTTGCACTTACGAATGTCAACTTCATAAAGTTTGCCATTTGTGAAATTTTTCCAAAATTGTTTCCTGACAGTATGATTGCAGCAGATAAAGCAAGGTCTCCTGCATGCGTCTGTCCTTTTACCAAGGGTTGAGAAGACCATTCAAATGCTATATGTCCTGCACTACATTTCTAGACGTGTTGAATATTAAGCAAAAGAATAAAACAAAAAGAAATAAGTGAGGCCGTGTACTTATTGTTTGCATTATAACAAGCCATGAAACTAAAAATTAGATCTAGAATTATATGGATAGTTTTAAGGAGCACTTTTAATTAAAAAAACAACAACACACTGATAACCAAGTATCTTACATATATTACTATCAACTCCTTAAAAATGAAAGAATTTTAGAAATCCATTGAACTCATTACTATTTATGCTTTTTATTTACTGTTTACATGTCTCTCAACTGGAACAATGGAAAAAAAAATCAATGAATTCATTTAGCTTCTTGTAAACAGTCACCTTCACTTTCCAGTTCTTAGTGTTGCAACACCAGGGTTTCAAAGAGACTGCAGGAATAATATTTGCTTATTTCATTTATTCTGGAAATATTTTTTATTGGTCTTCAGTTTTTTGAAAGCTTGACTTTACAATATATACATTTTGGACCCTATTTAAGTATGTCCACTCAATGACAGGATATGATATGTGATAAAATAAAAGACATAGAAAAGCTCACATCAGAAAACCTAGGGACTTATCCTGCACATCTTTACTCACGTAAGTAGTCCTTACTCATCTGAGTAATCCCATTGGGCTCAACATGATTACTTGAACAAGTGAGAACTATTGACTAAATTAGGATATGCAGAAACAGGCCCGAGGATATTAAAAATAAACACTGAGGTCTCACTCCTGCAATTAGACCCACGTGGGCTGACCTTTGTGGAAGTAATTAATTTCAAAGGGATACTGTGCAGGAGGCATGGGGTTTCATTTAAGTCAGTGAAACTCCACAGGGCTCTGCACATGTTGATCTGATTGCAGGATCAGGACCATAGAAAATTAAACTACTATTAACATATTGAGAATTAGTTAGCGAGAGAGAGAGAGAGAGACATTTACAAGGTATATTACTCACCCATATCAAATGCACACAGGAGGAAACAGGCTGTACAGAAATATCAACTTCACCAGCACAAAACATACATTTTGGTATAACAATTTTTTTGGCTAGTTGAAGAAGGGATCGTTCATAAACAATGTGAATTTTTTCATGAGAAATATCCTGGGTGTCATCCAAAGTCATATCACGAGTTGTCTCCTCAAAGGTTTCTATAAAGTCACCTTGTGACCCATCATCACATTCATCTGTTATACCCAATATATCCTCTGCTATAGACACATTTTTCAAGTGTTTAACTGAAGAAAAACTAAACAAATAGAGACAATTAGAATGCATTATAAATATAACACATGAATTAAGACACACTGAGTAATTTAGACCCTGAAAAAATTTGGGTTCAGGTGTTGCTGTTTTTTAAAAAAGGTAAATATAGAAGGGAAAAAAAAAGATTTTAGAAAGCCTAATATGAATTAGTTTTTTTAATTTAAATAGGAACAGATTAAAACACTACCCTGCAGAGCTTCAGTGCATGAGAATTAGAAAGCGAAAATTATTATGAGTCAGACCAGTCTAAGTCACTAACAAGCTGTGTAACATTTACAATTAAGCAAACAACTTAGATGGATGGTAAATAGTATATATGACTGATTTATTTAGTACTTCCAGTTTTAATACACTGTTATACTAAATATAGCAACAATATAGAATCTTAAAATACTACTTACCTTTTAGAAAGGTCATATTCATTATCAATAGTACACTCTTCCCCTGAACTGTCTGTAGATTCATCCTCTAAATCTTCACATAGCAATCTGTTAAATAAATGTAGCCAAAAGAAGCAACATTTAATGTAGTGTATCTCTGGAAATAAAATTCTATGTTCCTGAGGTTCTTCACCCTGTAGCAAACCATGGATATACCATATAATCAAGATGCAAGTTTCTCAGCTACTTACATCATCTCATTATATAAAATAATAAAGCAAACCATCCAAAAAACCCACCATGCCTTCAGATGGGAAACATTGGACCTCTGCAATGCAAATTGTACAACACTGAACTTTTAGTATAGACACTTTCCATAGTGAATTCACACATGATTTTAAAGTTTTGGACAAAAGAACTGTACACAGTAAGTTAATGCACAAAAGAGGTCCCGTTCATAAATACTTTTAAGGATAGGAGGGTCAATCACTGAAAAGTGAGTAAATTATAATCCATTAATTGGACAACATAACTATTTATTCTGATCTCTTTTGCACTGAATGTAAATGTGCTATTGCCCAGTGTACTTATAACCTCTCCTTTAAATTTCATTGTCTTATTTGAAAATTAAAATTAGCATATAGAATATTTATGGACTTCCATACAGTTAACTTAAATTTGTAAAATATTATGTAAAATTCCTAATATAATCATAGAAATGTATGTCTGGAAGGCACCATAAGAGGTCATCTTGCCCATCCCCTGGTGCTAAGGCAGGACTAATATCACATTATCCAGAATTACATGAGTCATAGAAGGCAAAGTCCTTCTCTTCTTCTCATGCAAAATGTCCTACTGAGTTGAGGCCTGACTGCAAAGGATAGAGCAACCTCTACTTTCTTGGAAGACACAGCAGAATGGACTAATTATCTAAGATCAAGGATGGAATTCCAGGCAAGCCTGGTGGCCTTCTGTGACATTTTGCTAGGGAGGTGATGGAGAAGGGAGAGTTACGGAGAGATTAGAGATGTGGGAGAGAAGAAAAAGGACTCTAATGTTCAGTACTTATGTAATTATTTGTATCTTCACAGTGCTGTATAAATCTTTATCCATAGGCTGCATTAGTACAAATTAGGGACTCAGACCTGCAAGCTGCTGAGCTCCCTCAACTTACAAGGAAATTGACAGGACTCATCCTACAACTTAGTTTGCTCAGTGTCTTGCAGGACTAAGATCCTAATTCCAGCCACTCACACATACATCAACCTAGCTTTGGCCCACAATAGAGCAGCCCCACAAGAGGGGTGGCACTATGGCCTAGAGCAGGGGTTCCCAAACTTGGTTCAGGGCTTGTTCAGGGTAAGCCCCTGGTGGGCTGTGAGACACTTTGTTTACCTGAGCGTCCACAGGTACGGCCGCTCGCAGCTCCCAGTGGCTGCTGTTCGCCAGTCCCGGCCAATGGGAGCTACGGGAAGCAGCGCGGGCCAGGCCATTGCTTCCTGCAGCTCCCATTGGCCAGGAACAGCGAACCGCGGCCACTGGGAGCTGCGAGTGGCCGTACCTGCGGACGCTCAGGTAAACAAAGGGTCTCGCGGCCCACCAGGGGCTTACCCTGAACAAGCCCCAAACCAAGTTTGGGAACCCGTGGCCTAGAGGAATGATCACATGAATGAGAGTTATTTCACTGACAACTGTTTTTTTATTTTTACACAATTTCATGGAAAAAACAGAGAAAAAAATCAAAAAAAGATTTTAAGTCACCTTTCAGTGCCTGCTGTTAAAGAGGTCTCTGGCACATCCTCTTCTGCATTTAATGTTGAGTTTCCATCTGCTTCCTGTATTTTCACTTTTGATTCCTTGCACACATCTCGGTTTTCATAATTGTCATATCTATATTACAAAATAAGATGAAAGTATCAAAAAGAAACCAATCAGAATAAAATTCACATTTCTCTTTAGATAATGATATTTAATATATAGGACATTTGAATTACTTACAAGTCCAGCAAAAACTTGGCAACTTCAGCATGCGAGAAGACATTAAGTGTTTCCCTAAGTGACATCCATCTTCCTATCTGTTCTCTTATACATATCCTTGATTGAGCCCTTTTTCTCTCTAGACTCTTTCTCCTCCTCTTTTTTTCTAATGGGGAATATATGGTGGGTCTACCAGGTCGCCTTGGTGGTGGTGATGGTGAGGATGAAGAGGATGATGACGACGACATTGCAAGCTTTCAAATGATAAAGCAGACTAAAGTTTAATTTAATAACAACATTCAATTTTAGTCATTACAGGCTACATAAGAGTAGTAAGTTATAATTTTTGGAAAATGACAACAAAATACAATAGGTTTGTGGTGTAGTGTTAAGTTTAAAATCTTCATTTATAGCCAAGTTTTACCCTCAGATAAGTGAGCATAACCCCCTCTGAAGTCCATGGGAGATATACATGTATATTGGAGGGCACAGTTTAGCCCTTATGTTTTAGGTATTAGATTGGATATTAGAATAACAAATGTATAAATTGCTAGTTTTACATATAAATGAGCAAGTGCACATTAACATGACTGTTGCTCGTTTGTATGTCAAATTAAAGAACTGAAGGGAAGGGAAAAAACAGTTAATTATTTTAAAACAACAGTAACCAAAGATTTGAATGTAAAGCATATTAAGCTGTGTTAAAAGTTCTTATGTGCACATTACACCTAATGCCTCTGTCCTGTAAATACTTATGCACTTGTTTAACTTTAACTTGAAGTCAATGGGATTATTCACACATGCTTAACTTTAAGCGTGTGTTTGCAGGATCAGGTCCTGGCACTTAAGAATATTTTTGGAGTTCCAAAATAGGGTAGCCCATCATGCTAGTGTCTGTGTGTATGCATGACCTGTATGGGTTACTGACTTGAGTGAGCAACTGGACTGGCCATTGAACACCAGCAGAAAAGGAAGGAAATTAAATTTAGTCACAAGTGATCTCAACTCCAAGTGGACAATGCAGTCAACATTGTATATCAAGTGTGAAACTGATTCAAGTGCTACCATGCCAGGGCCCAAATGTTCTCTCTCAGGATCTGAATAACTCTAAATACAATGAGTTACTTGTATCCTGCAGCAGAAGGATGGCTTGGAATGTAACACAGCTCAAGGCAACGAGAAGATAAATAACTAGGAGGTGAAAATGAACCATATTAAAAAGCAAATGTATATGCCTTTTATATTAATATTAATGACATATTCTCAAATTCAGACAATGACAACACTTAAGCCTAAGATTTTTTGAGAGGCAATAAGAAGTAGGCTGAAACATGACATCTGGTAGGCCTGTGGTAGTGTAGGTTTGCTTGTTTATTGGGTGTTTTTTGTTTGCCTATGGAAATTGTTTTTGCCAATGAAAATCTTGGAGTAAAGAAAGTTTGTCTGTGACTACTTATTAAGAATCCCAGAACTTACACTATTTGGCTGTTTTGTGATAATATTATTTACTTATGTATACCAAACTGGTTTTTCTGGTTTGTGTTTTGGATAATGGTTTATATTGTTGAGACATTTTAAAAAATGTAGGCTTTAGGTTTAGGATATGTTTTATTATAATGTTTTAGGTATTCAACATCACTTTCATGCATGCAATTTATAATATTTTTCAACATTGTACTTACAGAGAAGATGGATTGTATGGGAGCTGCATGCAAAGTGACCACAGGTAAAGTAATGCTTAGTGTTATTTACACCATACCTTGAACAGGAAAAAAAAAAAAGGCATAAAATATTTTTAAAGTGCAATTTTTTTTTTAAAGAACAGAGATAAAACGCCATCGAAAATCCCACCCCTCTAATATTTAATGGACAGGACGAGCAAGGAGAAAGTTTAAATTCTGAGTCTGTCATGCACAGAACAGGTCCAACAGTAATGTTGCTTTCTGGTGATGTCTGCCATAGCAAAATATATTAAGATTCTAGCCTGTAAAAATTATCAGGTTTTCTCTTTTTTCATAAAACTGCTAGTATTTTCAATATATTTTACTACAGCAACCAATGAATTCCTTCCTTGAGTAAATATCATTGTGATGCCAATATAAGCTGTTGACACAAAATCACGTGATCCGCAATCCAATCATTTCTCTCACTATAGCCCACAGAGAAGTAAACAAAAGGCACTCGTTTGTTTCTATTACATCCCAATAAAACGTTTCATATTTTCCAAGTTAAGAATAATATAGGAAAATAAGCTTCGTCGTCAAACTTTAAAAAAAATTGAAAGATTACAAACATTATTTGATCTATTTGGTACCCTAAGTAAGATTTTAAAGTGACAGATTTACCTAGCTCAGGGGTTCTCAAACATCATTGCACCGCAACCTCCTTCTGACAACAAAAATTACTACATGACCCAAGGGGAGCGGGAGAACAGGACCAAAGCCTGAGCCAAAAGCCAAAGCCTGATCATCAGTCCCAGGTGGGGGAGCCTGTAACCTGAACCTCGCCATGGGCTTCAGCCCGCAGTGGTGGGGCTGGGCTTCAGTCCCAGCAAGTCTAATGCCAGCCCTGGCGACCCCATTAAAACAGGGTGGCGACCCACTTTTGGGTCCTGACCCACAGTTTGAGAACCACTGAGTAGCTATTTAAAAGAATTCTCAACTAGAAGCATCATCAGGGCCATTTAAAGTCAGCAAAATAGGCAGACCAGCCAAGTCATATTTTGAACTAATTGTAAGGGCATTTTCAGAGGGGTCTTACTTTAGCGATGAAGATGTTTGCGGATTATATAGCTATGATTCCCCCCGAATCTCCTTTAAACAGCTTGGGAAAGAAGACCCAAAATCACAAGCCTGCGTGTGAAACAAAAACCAGCACGCACGAAGCAAGCGTTACAAGAGTCGGGGGGCCTGCTGCAAACGCTTATGTTTGTGCTCATTAACCTTACCCACGCGAGCTAGCCCACTGATTTAAATGGGACTACTCATGTGTGCAAACATAAGCACATAGATGTTTGCAGCGCAAGGGCTGCAGGGTGCGCCGCACCCCTCCTTCGGAGGACACATGGGATTTGGCTTTTAATTGTCTGTACAAGCTACTATAAAGCCGCATCCTCTCAGGTAACCGTCTCCTCCGGATCCCCGCGTCAAGCCGCCACATGCCCTTGTCTGTGCGGTTGCAGTGTCAGGCTGGTGCAAGGGCGAGCTCCACCCCAGACACGCTAGGCACACCCGGGGGAGGCCCGCAGGCTCAGGATGGTTGGCGGAAGAGCCCAGGCGGTTCCGCGGCTCTTTTAAAGCCTGGTTGCTCTGATTGCGGCCGTTGGAGCGCGGAGGCGACGGCGCGCGGGGGAGAGGGGCGGAGGGGGTAAACCTGGCTGAGTGCGGCAAGCCTGCCTGTCCCGCCGTTGCTGCTGCCGCCGCCCGGCCGGGGTGGCCGCCGTTGCCAGGGAGCGGTTCGTTCCTCCTCGCTGGGCCGCCGACCCGGAAGCGCTTTAGCCCAGCCTCGCTCGGTGGTGGGGGCCGAAGATGGCCGAGTCCCCGGAGGAGGTGGCGGTGCTGGTGCAGCGGGTGGTGAAGGACCTTAACAACGCCTTCAAGCGGAACCCCCACATGTGAGTGCGGCTTGGGGACTCGCCGGGCTGCGGGGGAGAGGGGCGGCTGCCGGGCTCCAGCTTCCCCGGGGCAGCCCCCCAGGGGCTAAGCGGAGACGCCGGCGCCGACTTGGTCTCCGCTTGTCCCGTGCGGGGTAGGGGCAGCAGTATCCTCAACTCTGGGGCCGCTGCCTCCCCGGCCGGGGACAGCGCTCTCAGCAAAGGGGGGTGAGCCGCCTCTCCTGCCAGCCCCTCGCCCCGGCGTGGGACGAGCACCCCTGGCTGGGACAAACCAGCCGGCGAGACTTTCCCTGCTCCAGCATCTTCTCAGCGAGGGGCGCTGAGCGCTTCACAGACACCCTTGCTGACGCCTCTCCCCACCCCCGCCGGGGAGGTGATCCCCGGCAACTGGGGAAAGTGGGCTCCAGAGGGATCAGGACCCGACTCCAGTAGTCCCTGTCTCACCTGTCTCGCCCAAGGTCGCACAGATGAAGTCAGCTGTGGCTGGCCTCTGGATCTGTTGACTCCCCGAGGCGCCGGCCTTAATTAGGGTAACTTCTTTCGCAGTCATGTAAACTTGGCTTATGGCATCAGTTTCGACATACGTGAGGTCGGTAAGGTTAAAGGGACACTGTCCGGTTATTATTCTGATGACTTTCCTAACCTCAGTTATTAAAAACATCTCTGATTACTGAAACAGGACAAATTATAAATATTTAATTTTTGTATCACTATTTATGCTTTTTGATTTTTATTTATTTATTTGCTCACCTTGGATAGTAGAGAATTATCTCTTTGTTCTGGGATTGTGTGTGGCTCTTACATACCATGATGATAGGCACCATATAAAAATAGATCTTTCCACTGTTGTTTTTTAATCTGTTGGATTGACAAAGTCTGTTGGACTGTTTCACCCCAGTACTGCACATTATTTGTAAACGCAATATGGGAGAATTTATTTGTGTATTAAGGGGGGGGGGAAAGTCTTTCACTGAATGGAGATAGATAGATAGATATGAGAGAGAGAGAGAGTAAATGCATGGAAACATTCCTTTTAATGTTAGATAATGTTAAAGAAATCTAAATTTTGAAATGACTGTGCCTCCTTGAGGCCCTAATCCTGTAATAGACTCTACCTGGCTCAGGGATCCCCTTACGTAGCGTTTATAGTAGGATTGGGGCTGAAGCTCTGTGTAGCTCAAAAGCCAGTCTCTTTCGCCAACAGAAATTGGTCCAGTAAAAGATACTACCTCACGCTCCTTGTCTCTCCAGTGTCCTGGGACCAGCACAGCTACAATAACTCTCCTCTAGGTGACAGAAATCCTTAGGATTACGTAAATGTGGCTAGCTGCCTTGGCAGGTAGCCAGGCTTTAAACCATAGCATATGGGTGCTGTCAGAAATAAACCTTTTTAAAACTAGATTTAGCCATACACTTTCCCTTTAGGGTTGTGAGGCATAATACACAGTAAACAGTCAATGTTTGTGTGCAGCCTAAAGAAGGGCTTTTGCTTCTTTTCACATTCTACGCTGTCAAAACTCCTTTTGATTTCAGTGGTAGCAGACTCGAACACTTTTTCGTTAAGATGTGCTTTTGCCGTCTGCCTTCATGGAGAAAAGTAGGTTAGAAGTAAAAGTTTGTGCGCCTTGATACTGACCTAACATAGCATGCTTAAGTGTGATCCCTGCGGGTCAGGGTAGATACTTATTGGTGGGACAGTGTGGGAAAGCTGCTGCTGTTATAACTGTTCTATAGAAAAACAAGGGACTTCTGTGCCCAAGACTGTCAAGCTGGGCTTCTTAAGGTGAACATAGGCACCGGCTGACATGGTTCACAGATGCCCCTCAAAGCGTACCCCTTCTGCCATGAGAAGGAGACCCTAGCACATGCTTACCTCCAGTCTGCTAGGGTGCAGCCCATCCTCTGACTCCTCCAGAACCTTCTGCTGAGATTCTGGTTTCCTTTTTCTTCGCATCTCTGGGTACTCCATCCGTGGCCCCACCAAGTTATAAGACCTCAGTTCAACCTTGGCACTGGCCAAGATAACTCCCTGGACTAATGGATGGGTGATGCTCAACAGGGTGGGTGATCAGTGATTGTGGGGTCTTCTTTCTTTTCCTACCCTTTTCACACATTTGGGCAGAGTTCCTCTGAACAGTGTCCACCAGCTCCTTCACAGAGCAGTGGCACTGTCCAGGGTTCTCTGCTTCATGACCCTATCTGGTACTCTTCTTTTGAGCCTTTGATCCTTACACAGTTGAGTAGATGGGCCCTTCATTCTGGGTAGGTCAACACCCACCCTCTCGAGAATTCAGGTAGGCTTCTTGGGCACTAAATTCACTAAGAGACAATAAAAAGTAAAGTTCTAAGCTGAATGTAAAACTGAGTTGTTGTCTCTCATATTGGGTTTTTAATTAATTAGGAGGAAAAAGTGTTTTTTTTTTGTTTTTTGTTTTGTTGTTTTAAGGCAAACTTATTTTTTATTTCTTAGGTAATTAAAAATCCAACCTAAGACTCATGTTGACTTGTCTTGCTGAGTCAGCCTTTTTTTTTTTTTTTTTTTTTTTTTTTACTGAAATATAACTGTCTCCGCATGTTATGTTCTATTCTTGAGCATCTGTATAACTTGTAAAATGTATTGCAAAATTTCTTTGGCTCCAGACATACGAACACTTAAACTTGTGTATGACATTACTCACAAGTAGTTCCATTGAAGCCAAATGGGGTTGCTCACATCAGCAAAATTATGCATACACTTAAGTGTTTGTAAGACTAGGGCCTTAGTTTTTACAAAGAGGTGCCCTGTCCAGCAATCTTGGTGATGTAGGGCAGTGGTTTTCAAACTGCTGGGTCACGGAATGTAAGGCACTGGGTCACAGCGGCTCTGGTCAGTGCTGCCGAAAGGGCCATTAAAAGTCCCGTCGGCGGTGCTGCCCGGCTAAGGCAGGCTAGTTCCTACCTGTTCTGACTCTATGCTGTGCCCCAGAAGCGGCCAGCAGTAGGTCTGACTCCTGGGGAGCGGAGGGGGGGCACGGGGCTCCACGTGCTCCCTGAGCACAGGCTCTGCACTCCCATTGGCCGGTGCCTGCGGACGAGAGCCGCGCGGAGCCGCTTGTGCGCCTCCACCTAGGAGGTTGTGAAGGCTGGGACTATAACAGGATTTAAAAGAGAACTAGATAACCTCCATGAATTTAAGTCCATTAATGGCTATTAGCTAGGAAGGGTAAGGAATGGTGTCCCTAGCCTCTGTTTGTCAGAGGGTGGAGATGGATAGCAGGAGAGAGATCACTTACCTGTTAGGTTCACTCCCTCTGGGACACCTGGCATTGGCCACTGTCGGTAGACAGGAGACTGGGCTGGATGACCTTTGGTCTGACCCAGTATGGCCATTCTTATGTTCTTATGTAACCTTGCTTATAGCTGTTTCCGGTGCTTCACGCTGAGCTCAGGTCTACAAAAAGTTAAGTTGACCCAGCTATGTCTTTTTGGGTGTGAAAAATCCATGCCCCCTGAGCAACATGGTTAAGCCAGCCTAATCCCTGGTGTAGACAGGGCTAAATTATGGAAGAATTCCATGAACCTAGCTACCACCTCTTGGGGAGGTAGATTAACTATATTGACAGGACAGTCCCTCCCACTGTTGTAGTAAGTGTCTATGCGTAACTGTAGCGTTTCAAGGGAAGGAAGTGTTTTTTAGAAATGGAGGATCTATGATTAAAAATTTCTTTGCAAATGATTTAATAGCTGTTAAAAACACTGTGATTTTAGTAATGTCCAACTTGCCTTGTAGTTCTGAAGAGCATTCAACTCATCACGTTGAGATAGATGGGAGTTACTGAGACATTCACTTATTCTTTTAAACTCTAAAACAGAAGAAAAAGTCTCCTATTCCCACAATTAAACAAATACAATGGATCAATGAAAAGAGACCCTAGTTTCACCGCTTGCCTGCCTGGAGGCTGCCCAATCAGAGAGCCAAGAAGCCTGGGCGGCTGGCCTCTGCTCCCAGCTGGGAGCGAGGAGCAGAGAGCCTGGCGGGGCAGTTGGGCTCCCAACAGTAAGCTGTGCTCTCGCTGCCCCTGTTCAGTTGTGGAAGCGCTCCTGCTGAGGATGCACATCGCTGACAGAAGGAGGATAGTATAGACATCAGCCACTGCAATAATTACTGCAGTGGCTGTAAGTGGACCTAATACAGGTCGACTTAGGGATGTAGTGTAGACATTCCCAAACTCTGGATATCCCTTCCAATATTTAAAACTTGCTATAATCTACAATAACACTCAGCTGCTTAAATTGATGGCAGTTTAGTCTACTTGCCTTCCAAAACACAATTTCAGACTTCCACAAGTTAGAAGAATTAATGTAGCTTGTATAGTTATTGGATAAACTGATTTTAAATTGAACTGTAATTTTATTCAGTTCTTTATACTGCCATCCATATATTTTACACATTTATTTGCTGGTCTGCCTTCTAAACTTGGTATGTCTCATACTCGCTTATTCATCCGTGAACAAGCCCTACCTGTTTGTTGTTAAATACAGTATATAAAGTAGTCTTGCAATTCTGTTTGATGAATGTGTTTTGTGGAGTGGCTGGGAGGCTGAGTGAATAAATAGGAGTGTCGGTTTTTTTTTTTTTTTTTTTTTTAATTCTTACCCCCTTTACCATGATAAGGGGAGAATGTAGGGGTTTTGGGATTTTTTTGAGTATAGGCTGGTAAACTTGCATGACAGGCTTGCAAGGTTTATGAAGTGTATCTTGTCCGAATGAATAAATACAGTATATAACTTGGTCTCCAGCTGAAGCCAAGAATATATATCCCTCGATGCAAGGTTGGGAAAAGTTTGCTCAAGGGCCACATCTAATTTTCATATACTGGAACAGAGATGGAGCCTGTGGAGACTACACACTCCAGGATGCAAAGCTTGATCCTGAATCAAGTTGCCTAGCTAGATCACTTCAAAGATCTGAGCTGCCTAGCACTTCCCCCTAAAAGATTAGGGGATAGCTACGGGCTCTGTTGTAGATGTCTGAGGTCCTCACATTGGCAACCACTGCCTCTTACTTAATGTAGCTGGTAAAAAATTTACCCCATTGCCCTCTTCATAGAGTCTGAGAGAGATTTTAAGAAGCTTATTTGTTAAGTTAATTTTACTGCATGAGGCATTTAGTTAGGAAGGCATATTTAAGTGGGATGTCTGGGAAGCTTCCAGGTTATGTTTTCTCACATCTGAAGTTCAAGAACCAAGAAAGCGGGCAGAGGTAAAAGACATAGAAATCAGAAAAGGGGGAAAAATATGGGCCAAGTGGAATGGGAGAAGTGGGCAGACTGTTAACTTTAGAGTAATAACTGGTAAAAGCAAATAAGTAGTCTAATTATATTTTACTTGTGTTTATTTTTAAGAGATGAAATTGGGTTAATACCCTGTCCTGAAGCCAGGTATAACCGGAGCCCTATAGTCCTTGTAGAAAACAAGCTTGGCGTGGAGAGTTGGTGTGTCAAGCTTCT